TCTCCATTTGATTCTAACAGTCAGCTACCTAGACATGCAAAATATCTTTGCTTGTTTATTCTGCTTCCCAATGGCCACTACCCCCTCCTCATTTTACATAATAACTACATCCACTGTCTCCCTTGTTTATAACTTTAATGTATGGTAGATTGACGATAAACAGTTCTGTACTGGGAATACCTGATATACAAAGAAACACTCAAGTCATTTCACTTTCAAGAAAAAGCAACATCTTCCAAGATTTTCCATGTTGCTGTAGAATAATCATTGAAAACTTAATTAAAAGTCTTGGTTGTGGATGGTATATATAAGCAAATGTTAAATTAAGACCAAAGTAAGAGAAAAGGATCACTAGGAAAGCAAGTACTAATATTCTATTTAATAGTGAAATGGCTCAAGGAGAGGAACAACTAACGGCACGTAGTTCAATATTAATTGGTGTCACTGCTCTTCTCTCATCTAACTGCTCTTGCCTAAATTAGTTTTCTCTACTGAGGCCATGGCAAAAGAAGTGTATGCGTGAGCTGCACCCAGAATATCCTCATGAACATCCTAATTTTTAAAATATTAATATCACAAAAGCCGTAACCAGCCTTCATAATCCCCACAGACGTCGACGGAGGAGTTCGCCTCTGCAAGTCGATCTTTATGACTCTGAACCTACGTCCCACCTTTGAAAAGATCACTGTGATTGATTGTAAGTAGTAGACTTGTCCCATCAAGATGATATATACTTGGAAAAATGCCTAATTGGATCTAACTACTGAAGGTCATCCTTTTATAAAGAATTAATCTTTTCAGACTCATACTTACACCTTTAATGGAAAGTACATTCGCTTTAATTGATATGGCACAGGATACTATGGGTTTCGGGGAAGTGGAAGAGAGGGATGGTGTAAGGCCAAAACAGCCTGCGAGGCTTTACAGTGGAAACATTCTAGCCCCAGGCTGCTGACTCTCATACAGAAAATCTTCTTAATCCTAAAATAAGAGCTATTGAATTTGCTAAAGCTAAACTTCTTCCTGCTCGTTGCAGGCATACTCTGTCTCAGAAAAGCAAACGGCAAAGCATTTTACATGGAACTCATTCTTACGAATGAGAAATGCGATCATACGATATGGCTGCATGGCGTGCAACTGTCTGACCTCTCACTCACTCCCCTTACTTAAAGATCTAGTCATCTCCCAGAGACAATAGACATGTCAGGCTTTGTGACATCTTCTTCCTATTTTAGACTGACTAGCCCCTTCTCCCAGTGGCAGATTACTATATCCACTACTCTGTGCTTTAGTTTTAAGTTAATAATGTATCTTAAGTTTCTAAGTATCAGTTTATTGCAAGCTTTCACATTCTTTTTAATACAGCTGCAAATCCAGTGGCAGCATGAGGTGCCTTAGACTTAAGTTAATAATGCATCGTGAAATTCCCAAATTTAAGCGCACATCCTTTTTCCATACAACACAGTTCCCCATTCTATTGCTCTATCCTTTTCTGAAGCTCTTTCTGTCCTGTGAAGAGATCGCTTCCAGTCTTTCAAGATTACAAACAATGAGTCAATGGATAAGCCTGTTCTTATTTCACTCTGAAAAACATAAGCATAAGAGTAAGTTTCTTATGGTCAGCTGCTTGGTTATACAGGCAATTTGATGGGTACTGCCAGACTCCTCTTCGTCTCATTTGTACCAATTTCTACGGCCACTGACAATTTGTAAGCACTGTTACCAAAACTTTCAAAGAATAATGTAGGGGGTGTATTACAGAACTTAGGTGATATGGTGCCAGCAGGGCAAAGCTTTTTTCCCATGGAAAGGACACAACCAGTCTTCATCACTTACTGGTGACAGACAGGGAAGAATTTGGATTAACTGTAGTTGTTCAAACTTTCCAGAGGCATGTGAAATTTGACATTTACAAACCCCATAGTTTCAACTGTTGATGCATAAGTTTCAAGTGTTGATGCTAGCTAGGCACAGAGTTCAGGTGAAGTCTACGAGCACTTGCTAGTGAGGCTGAGTGTAAAATATATCTGTTGATATTAACACACAAACTGTGGCAAGCAGAAGCACACAGTTTTCTGAAATGTTAAGACTTTGATATTATTTTTAAGAATCTACCAAAAAAGTCATAAATAATGCACTGACTCACAGGCCATGAGCATTGGAAAACTAATCATGGAAAAGAAAGGTAAGTCCAGAGAAATTTAATCAAAAGGAAAATACGATCTTTAAAATCTGAAGTGGTTTCAAGTATTCAGTACCTGTCATTCAACAATGGCTAGTGTGTGATTTTGAGGGGTGGTGGTATTGTTTTGTTGGTTTGGACTTATTTTGTGCCAAAACTGAGTTCACAGTCTATGTGGGAATATGTTAAGTTCTTCTTGTACTGTCAATTCATCTTCAAGTGACACATTGGACGCTCCAAGAAGATAGCTGTGGCAGCAAGGAACAGACCGGAAAGCAGGTAACTTCCTGGTGGGCTGGGAACATCGAGGCTGGGAAGCTACAGAGAGGTTTCACAGATGTAGTATTCACCTGGCCTCCTAATGTACTATATTAGGGCTATCTCACAGTCACTATTCCTGAAGGGTCCCAAAACAAAAGTGCAGGCTCAGGACCACCAGCATTCTCCAGCTTCATGTTAACATCTCTTAGCCAGTGCTCACAGAAGTATGGGGGCTTACAACCACCAAGAACCTGATGTTATTAAGAGATATAAAAGTTCAAAGGCCATTTACTGCCAAAGGGCATTGGAAAAGGCACCTGGCATCGGTATTCCACATACTCCAGCTACAGTGACATTTAGCTGCTCTGGCGTCAGCAGAGCCATCAGAAGTCCTTTAAGGCCAGAAGACTCAAATCTCCATACTTGAAACATTTGGATGGTGGCACTGTTTGAGAAGGATGTGGAGGCTTTAGGAGGTGGAGCCTGGCTGGTGGCAAATTCTTACAGGGAGTGGGGTATAGTATACAGATTTCACTCCTTCCAGCTTGCTCTCTCTGCTTCATGTTTATGGTGGAAAAGGTGTTGTCACAACCTTCTGCTTTGGTCACCTGCTGTCATGCCCCTACCTCCAGTATAGACTCTCTCTATCTCAGCAGCAATAACAGCAACAGATCAGTAACCCTCCCATCCCATTCTAACTCCTGCTGATCTTCCCACCCTTGGCTCACCCGCTTCCCCTGCTTATCTCCTGTCTCCCCTCAGTGTGTGAAATCCTGGGCAACACAGCACAGTCCTGCTTAGTCTTCCCATGCCTGATCATTCCCATAATG